CCCCTGCTGTATTCTCGCTCAAAAAACCATGAGGCCAGACCGGTTAGAAATTTTAATTGTAAATTTTGACCAGCTTCTCGACGGTTCTACAGATAGTTGAAATCACCGGAAGAAAGTTAGGATTACATAACAGAACCTGAATACAAAACAGGTTATGAATGCTACAGTGAAGTACATAAAAATTCAATGGACATGTAACCGTGCATGCCACAGTTCAAAAATTGGTCTCACCAAATATCTGAAAACAATTCAAATGCCTTTCTTGGGTGGTGGAAAAATCTATACGTACGTGTCAAATTTCAATGGGGAAAAAGAAAAGTGGTCAAAAAAAGGTGTCAAATCTCAACGGTGAAAGAGAAATTTCAATTGGGAAAAAGAAAAGATGTAAAAGAAGGGGGGAAATAAAAGTGGTAAGAAAAATGTGTCGGACAAAAAGAAACACGAGCCAGGCAGGGGTCGAACCAACGTCCTGCTCGTAAACGATCGTAAATTTCCAGCCGGGAACAGTGTTTTTCTCTCATACCAAACCAGCCAGCAGTAAATAATCCACGATACGATACGGCCTCCCGAACAGGCTGCTTATCCTTAGGCTTCGGATCAGAGACTACACTAAGCTACAGGCGCAGATGTGATGTACTTTTAACTTATTAGCTTTGTAAAACAAATGTACAGCAACTTTCATTAGTACTAGTGTCAATAGTCAGCAACGCCAGTAGTATTAATTAACCAGATTACACAAGTCGTAAAAGTTGAGCAAACTTGTAGCAGAGATCTTAGTTAATGGGGCGGACTAAAAGCGGCATGCCAGCAACAACCAACATTTGGGTTTAACTTGGGCATGCACAGCCATGCACTGAACAATGCTAGCTACTTCCACTTTCACTTCACTGTCATGAATGAACAAACTCCACTGGAGTCAGTTACATCTATCTGCGATAGGTACGCACATGTCATGTCATCAGTAGTTCAGTCTTCCAAGTTATGTTTCAATTTGTAAAAGAACTCCATTGCTTTGCATGAAGCTGTTGTTTGCTTAGTCGTGTTGGGGTTGATACAACCTCACTCACTGGCCTCCTCCGTGCCGGGATTCCGCATTTGTGAGCTTCCTGATCTTCCCCTACCGGAGAAGAAAGGCACACAACGTTAGCCGGTTTACGAGGTGAAAACGAGCGACGATGCAAGTGCTGCACCAATATAATGTTGCAGTAGTGCAAGTAAGTCATCACAGGGAGATGCATGAAAAGATGTGTAACAGTTACTCCCTCCGTCCCCAAAAGAATGCAATTATAGAAAACGTGCCAGTTAAACTAGTTCAAGTTTGATCAAATTTATAATAAATAATATTAATATTTATGTCTTCAAATAAATTTATTATGAAAATATATTTTATCACTAATTTAATGGTATTTTTTTGTATCACAAATGTTAGTAGTTTTTTATATAAATTCAGTCAAAGTTCAAATGGCTTGATTTCTCAAAAAGCGAGAATTGCATTTTTTTTGGACGGAGGGAGTACTACGTAATTTGAGAACAAGTTATCAAATGGAGATGCATGAAAAGATGGGGTGGGAGCACTGACGGTGTTCGCCCACGCCAGGCCACAGGCGTTGCAGAAGTTCTTGGCGCCGTTTGGGCCACGCCGCATCTTGGGCGTCACCTCGCTGCTCTCCCCGCAGTTGGTGAAGCTGCACACACAACAGAACAGATGGCGAACATGAACATGAACTCACAGTCACAGTGTACTGATTGCAATTGCAACTGCAGTATGTGAATTGCATGCATGGAAAGATCGACCGACTAACGATTGAAGATGCTCAGCCGTCTCCCCAACTGAATTTTCAGAGCTCTTCTTAGACGACGGCGCAAATTTTCCTCCCCTTCGCGGGATCCTGAGCCAGCAAATGCATGCGTGCGCAAGAAATAAACAAACATTCAGCCTTATATCTCTCTGAAGTCTGGACAGGGGATAGACATGAAATAAACTGGATTTGATTGATACATATATATACCTTGAAGCGATTTCCCTTCGGACGGAGTAATCGGCCTTCACTGTGATCTTCCTTTTCTTCCGGTACCGCGAAATGGCCGCAGCCCTGTCGAAGTCTTGAGGCACGACGATAGGATGGACCTGCTGGTGCCAAATGCTCACATTATTATATATAGTTTATTTCGTCTGTTATGAGGAATTAAACTCCTACACCAACAAGGCTACAATGGAAATGGAATCTGGTTGATGCAAATTATCCCAAATGGTCTCAACTCAACCAGCATTATAGGCATAGAAGGTTTTGTAGGTTTTGCAATGCTTAGATTCGACGCAAAAAGGAAAATAAAGCGTTGCGATCTAGTAGTAGTATCTAAACTCAAACATGCATTCACCAAAGATCATAGTGCAAGGTACTACAAGAACACAGGGACAGGGTTCTAACTACTGAAACACAAATACACAATGCCACCTTTAAAGCATATGACTGAACAATTCCAAGAAAACAAAACATGCACATTGTCAAAGAACTTCCTTTAATTTATCAGAACAAAGAAAAAAAAACTCAGCCATGCATCTTGAGAATCGCAAAACCGCTTTGGTTCCCAAGAAGCCAAAACCAAAATAGGCAGCCCACTGCACCGCGCGATGCATGATCACCATGTTCTTGTTGTGCCCCCGGTACGTCATCGACAGCCCATCGTCCACACGGCCGCCGTCGCCTGCGGCCTGCGCCTCGGCCAGCCGTCGCTCGTCCTTCGCCTCCGCGCCCATTGCTGCCGTGCCGTACAAGCACCCATCGTCGTCGCCGAGACCCTGGAGCAAGTCCGGGGGGGTCACGATGTCGTCAAAGGGGTCCTCACCGCCTCCTGCTGCTCCTCCGGCCACCGTGCATGAGGGTGGTGGCGGCGGCGGCTCCATGGTTGAGTGGGAGTGCACTGGGAGCAGCAGCGCAGAAGCGAGGAGGCGACCGAGGGAGAACGCCCAAGTCCCAACGCGTGCTGCTTTCCCACTCTTTATAAACCAACGCATGCTGCACTGCACGCCGCCAGGTTATGGGCTTATGGCCCATAAGTTATGGGCCGTCGGGTCAGCAATCAACGGCCCATACTGCCAACCTGTACATAGGTGATTGTCTTTTTTGAAAGAAAAAAATGAGGGCGTGTGCAAAATAGTTTATTCATCGAGATGTTTTGTGCATGCGAGATTTTGGTTTACATTCAGAAAATGGCTATATGCTATTGTCTTTTCAGCTACACTGCTACACATCCGGTACATTAGGCGCCTTGAGAATCCATGAAGTCACGTATGACATTTTCAAGTCGTGTAAAGTCAATTATCTCATACTTTGACCGCCACATTTTGTTACAATATATCTATAAAATTTAGTTAATGTATACTTTAAATAAAATTTGTTTATACACTGGTGACATTTTCATATGTTTAAAATCAAAACATGCACGAAGAGTAACTTACAGTCATCAGATCGCTTTGGACAAACTCAAAACGCTATTTTCACTTGTGACTGGACTATGCTAGGTCGAAAAAGGACAAAGGAGACACCAAAATTAGTGACGCAGAATTAAAACGAGTTTCTAATGTGCTTTTGTTGGAACACTGAGACGATCAGTGTCGCACATTACTGGGAAAGGATCTGCTCCCTCAAATAAGTCAAGTGACTTTGTTAGTGTCTGAAGTTAACCATTGTAAACTTAATTAAAAATATTAAGTGTTGACTTTGCATACCTTTTTTTCTGAAAATTTCAACGAGGACGAAAAGTTTCACCTGATATATTAACCACTGATGCTGATGTGGTCGGTAGTGGAGGGCAAAAAGCCCAGCAGGACTTTGCATACTTGGAAACGGTAGTACTGCAGTTTCTTCATGGCAGGTGCTATAACAAAATTTGTGGTTGAAGTTATGCTTTGGAGAAACTGTGGACGTTCAAAATGTCGATTCTTTACGGCACTGCACCACAACCCTTAAAGGGGTGTACAGCGATAAACAGTCAATTGCTAAAGGTTATAGCGACAGACCCCTACAGTTGCTAGTGAAGCCGTCGTTATACGTAAACAACGACGGACATCATCTTTAGCAACGGACAGTTCAACGGTCCAACTTTTAACGACCGACAATATGTTAGAGCTTTTAGCGACCGACAGTCCAATGCTATAATAACTTTTAGCGACCAACAGTTCGACGGGCTCAATTGTAAACAGATAAAAAAAATAAAAGCTGGCCTGAAGGTATAGCTGATGATCAAACATTAGCCATACATTGATTCACGTACACAAAAGTGATGACATTCAAAAGTGATCACATTATCCATACATTGATTCATGTATTGAACAAGTACATTATACATGTAATGTCACTTAACATCAAACTAATCCTTGTTTGAAGTATCTGCTGATCAAAAACAAGGCTGATCCTAGCTGATGATCAAAAGTTTAGCATAGCACATGTCCATGAAAACAAACAAGCTGGTGGCAGCATCCAAAAGTTCCTGAAAAAATGATAGAATCAGTAGTCTAATGAAGTACAAGTTCCAATGTACAACTTACAAGGGAGTGAGAAGACACAGTTTCACGAATATAAATCACATTCAGTTAGCCTCCAAAAATGAAACGTCCAGTGCTTACCCCTTAGTTGTTTGTGTTTTATTTTCACTATTCAAGACTTCACTAGTTGAGTTTATTGTTTCTCAGACTTTGATGACAGGCTCAGAGCAGACAACAAAGATAATGATTCAACAACACAAGCTGATAAGCTATCCTCTATTCAATCCACGCATCCAGTACTTGTAAATTCAACTTGTAGATCAATAAATTTAATTTGAACAGCAATGGATCGAGGAAGGGAGTAGCACTTGTCTGGTGTTGGCTGACTCATTTTAAGGTAGGCATGAAGATGGTCTGGCAAAAATGAGAATTTTTTCAATGAGCCCAAGACTTGTAAACATTGAATACATTGCCACACTTGCAGTAACCATCAAAGATTGAATTCTAACAGTACTCAGAACGCTGCGAGCTGTAGGAAGGTATAAATTTCACATCTGTTATCTGCATACGCATTTAAAAGATTCAGTATTTTTAATGAAAAATACAAAACAATAGAATCAAAGGAGCACCAATTTGTAAAGTAAACCTGTGGCTCCTGTCGAGGTGACCAACTGAGAAGGATTCCAAGATGTTGCTTCTCTTAGCTTTGCTGTTGTTGAATTGCTGGGCACCAGAATAAAAAGGTGTCCAGCTCTTGCTACTATAGTACTGCAAAGAGAGAAAATAAAATCGATCCAGCAAGCTACTACCACTATTCTGAAAATGAAAGGAGAGTTGAGCTGCTGTAGACTGACACACTGAAAAACAAATGAAAGGAGAACTGACATGAAATTGGAATAACTCGATCTATTTCACTATTTGACAAAATAAAGAACAAAATCCAATTCTGATTGACATGAAATTGGAATCACAACTTCGCTAGATCATGTACAATATATTTGACCAAAAACATCTAAAAAGATTGAGCCTTTTCGCTAAAAGATTGACCAAAAACACCCAATTTATCTGCAAGCAAATCACTCTGAACACTAAGCAGATCTAATCATTTTAGTACAAAACTGAATACTAACCTTTTAGCCATGGCAGGGGTGCACTGCCGCAGAAGACTTGGGGATGAGCGGCCAGGTGGAGTGTGGAGACTGTACTGGAGATGGAGAGCCCGCAGAGTGCTGCTGTGCTTGCTGGATGCATGCCCGCGCCCGCCGCCCAGCTCCGAGTCCACCCACACATGTATCTGACCAAAAACTACATGTACTGGACACAATAGGCAACTACATCAGTTATTCCTACTGTTGAAGTTGAGCCTCCAGGATGTTCATTTAATCCTCCATTGGAAGCACATCAAGTATGTGTTACCATTTATTTAGGAGTACCAGATATGGGCAATGTACTCTATTCTGAGTTGTTAAAAATTGCTACTAATAGATACTCCTACATTTTTCAACGAATCAACGATGACAGTAACAGGAGGACCCTGCTGTTGCATTTGTTAAGAGGGAAAAGTCATTTCACTGAAGCAATAACCGAAGAAGATGTAAGTTTTATCTCCAAGACTTTACAGCTCTGTCATAAGTTTCTGCAATTTAGACATTGCCCTGTCGTACTATCTGTAACATATAGCATGCAAATGTGTCTTGTTTTCACTTGTCACTTTCTGCATAGCCCAAAATATATCATGGACTTGGACAGTGCTAATGATGCTACAGTAATCATGCTGCCCAATTCATTGATATAAAATTAAATACTATACTTTCAGTTGCAACACCAAGCACACTTGGAACACACTGCTCATGCATCTCATAAACCGCATCTCGCAATAGACAAATTTAAAAAATTCAATCTAGGTCTGTCCAACTCACCAGAGCCCATATCGGGGAAGGGGGCTGATGCAGCGGCGGCGGCATTGGCAGGAAGAATTCGCCGCTGCAGACCAGGTACCCCCACATTTTCCAACCAGGCCAACGACGCCGACTCCAGTTGCTCCCACCGGCCAGCCACGGAGAGGATGGATGCTGTGGCAGTGGCACCGTGAGTGGAGCTCCTTCAGATGGATGCTGTGACATCCTGAAGATCCGCACGGAGGTCAGAGGCAGTCAAAGACGGGGATCAAGGGCAGCTGGATGCCACGCTTACTGGGAACGGATGTCCGAGAGGCGCACGGACGAGGAGGACGAGGATGTGATACCTGGCTGCCGGTGCGGAGGGAGCGGGGGTGAGGAGAGGGGACACCGAACGGAGTAGGCTGCCGCCACCGCGAGTGGCGCCGCCCCGCGTGGGGGTGGAGAGGACGCCGCCGCCAGTGACGAAGGGGAGCGGCATGGCAGCGGATCCACGAGGGGAGGGTGCCTACCGCCGACGCCGTCCGTGGGATTTGGCTGGGGATCAACATTGCGCCGCCGGACGTGAGGAGCAGGGAGCGCAGCCGGAGGTGAGGGGCAGGGAGCGCCGCGCCGGAGGTGTGAGGCACGGGGTCGTGGCGGTGTGAGAGGGAAGATTTGGGGCTGGCAATGTTTTCCAGCTCTATAGACGCAAAATGGGCCAGCTGACCGTGCGGAAGCCCAATATATACAGAGCGACAGATAGTTGGATACAAATATCAGCCTTTAGCGACAGCTAAAGCAAAATAAAAATAGCGACCGACGTTCGGTAGAGAAACGAAAAATAACGACCCACCGTCTGTTATAAATTTTTAGCGACCGATCGTCCATTAATATTTGAGGGAATTCCTTGTGAGCCATTAAAAAATATCACAATTCTCTGTGAGCCACTGAAAAAGTTCAGCGGACTTCAGCGTCACTATTCTAACTTTTTTTTCCCTCCCTACCACTGCTGTCAGATTGGGCTTTAATGGTGTCAAACTGTAGGTGTGAAAAGTCAAAAATATCCTTATATCTAAATATGTCATTATTTTTTTTAGTATCTTAACGACTTCAAATGAAAAAACTCAAAACTAAAAAGTTGTATATCTCGTCGAGATCTATAATTTTCATATAAAAATTATCTTCATTTAATACCGCAAAAAAGATATTATTTTTCTAAGATATATTAATCATATCAAATCATATATTTTTTTGCGGAATTAAATAAATATAATTTTATATGAAAATTATAGATCTCGACAGATCTACAACTTTCTAGTTTTGAGTTTTTCCATTTGAAGTCGTTATGTGCTCAAAAAATTAATGACATATTTAGATCTAAGGGTATTTTTGACTTTTTTCACACCTACGCTTTGACAATCAATAGAGTCCAATCTAATGGCAAAGTGGCATGGAGGGCAAAAAAATTGGAGCAAGCAGTCAAGTCCGCCAAACTTTTTCGGTGGCTCACAAGAAATTACAATCTTTTATAATGGCTCACAGGGAATTCCCTCTTGATATTTTGGTACTTTTAGCGACCCACCTCCTACGCTAATTTTGGGTTGTAGTGTAGTGCAGCTGGACGGAGGAAGGGGCAAAATAAAATGTACCATACACGAGCATTTTGAGAAAGTTAGCCTTTGGATTTTCTTCTCTTGACCCGTGAGGATCCCGATCTGGATATAAGAACCAGAGGAGCTTCACAACAAAATGGGCCAGGGTTGTGGTGAGGACTAGTAACATCTGCAGCATTTGCACAGAGGCGACAAGGAACCTAGAGAGGATCTGAGGATGTGGTCGAGGTCAGAGGTGTTACGTGTTTGATTGTTCATCCTCTCTCCAGTGGTTAGTCGTCATGGTGAAGCCATCGAACTCTCATGCGACCATCGAACTCTGTTCCTATGCAGACATGGAAATGCCAAAGGAGCTAATGGTGTTCAGGTTAACCTCCAACATCCATTGATGCAGGTCCTCAGAATTGACACAAATGGTTTGTCACTGGTGCCACTTCGGTGACCCAAACTAATGCAGAGGAGCGCCCTAATGAAGGTGACCCTGAAGAAACCTTTGAAGCTGGTGGCGTAAACTCAGAAGACGTCTTAGGGACCAAGTTGGCGGGAAGCGAAAGGAAGGCGCGAGACAAGAAGAAGAATCCGCGCTTCTCTAGGCCGCTTGAAAGGTCCTTGTTTGGTTTTGATAATTGGGTGACAACCTTAGGTTAACTAATGTGTTTAAGTAAGATACATAGGTGATTAGTCCATAGGTACATGTATGTGAGCAATATATGCCATGACAGTGATGATGGCTCAAAGATGTGGCAAAGCTTACACATGTGATGATGAAGGAGCTTATTGCACATGAGACATGACATGGAGTCATGTGATCAAGGTGGAGAAGATCAAGACATGACTTGGCTTGATGGACCGGTTGCAAGCGTGAAGGGCAAGTCAGAGGCTTTGGAGTGATGGCCCACATGGCGGTGAAGCTTGAGCAAGACTTGGCACCGATGGACGAAGGCAACGGTGAAAAGCAAGTGAAGTCAAGATCGATGAACCAATACGGTCACGTAATGATATGAAGTGGATCATATCATTTGGTGATTGGTTGATGCATGTGTTGCATCAACAATGGAGGAGATGGAATGGAATGCGCAAGATAAAGGTATAACCTAGGGCATTTCATTTCACCGGTCATAGGTGTGTAGAGAAGTTTATGACCAGGTTTAGGATAGATGGCCATACTATCAAGAGGGGCAAACTTGTTTGCATATCGGTCATCTAGTGCCACTCGAGTGATCTAACTTTGCATCATCGCTTGGATTGAGTGGCGTGGCAAGTTGAGTGGCTAATCCTTTGAAAAATATTTGTGAAAAGCTAACACACATACACATGGTGGTGTACACTTAGTGGTGTTGGCATATTTGCAAAGGAGAAGAAGTTGGAGTTGATGAGGATCAACTCAGTGAAGAAACGGAGGCGAGAAGGTGTCACTGTGAGTGACCGGACGCTAGCCTCGACAGGACCGGCTGCGTCCGGTCAGTGGCAGCAGAGAGCGTGTAGGCGTCGGTCTTTGACCGGACGCTGGGCGAAAAGTGACCGGACGAGCAGGGCCTGTGTCCGGTCACGTGTGATGTATGGTGACGTAGCGCGGGCAGCTGAGGCAGCGAGGACCTGACGCTCTGCTGCGTTCGGTCACCTATGATCGGACGCATCCGGTCATAGAACAGAGGCTCAGGGAGCTCTCTAGAAATGACCAGACTCAGGTGTAGCAGCGTCTAGTCATCCTCACTGTACTGCGTCCGATCAGTGATGACGTACGCTAACATCTTGGTGCGAGGAGCAGTAGTGACACGTGGCAGGCGGTGAAGGACCGGACTCAGGTGCTGTGTCCGATCACGACCAACCTGACACGTTCGGTCGTAATACAGAGGCTTAGGGAGCTCTCTAGAAATGACGGACTCTGGCTAGTTTGCGTCCGGTCATGTAGGAGCGGACACGTCCAGTCGCAAAACAGAGGCTCGGGGAGCTATCTGGAAACGACCAAACTCTGAGGCTCGCGCGTCCAGTCTTGGCGATGTGCTGCGTCCGGTCACAACTTAACCGTTAAGATCGGGCGCTTAGTATTTGAAGCCAGGGATGATGTGGCAGCCATCCGTTGACCGGACACTGGCTGGGTGCGTTCGGTCGATCTGACCGACGCGCCCAGTCGCCCCGAGCAGTGCCAGTGAAGGGGTACAACGGCTCTATTTTCGTGGGGGCTATAAATAGAAGTGTGGGTCGGCCTTTGGCCGATAGCTTAGTATAGCTAAGCACACTAGAGCCTTGGTGGCTTATGTGGCAGTGCTTGGGAGCCCTCTAACTTACTCTAGCTTGATAGTGTTCATCTGATCGAGTGAGAGAGTGATTCTAGTGCGATTGTATCGTGAGGTTGCATCGAGTGGCACTAGGTGGTCATCTTGCAAGCCAGTGGTGCTTGTTACTCTTGGAGGTTGTCACCTCCTAGACGGCTTGGTAGTGGTCTCTGTCGAAGCCCGCAAGAAGTTTGTGCGGTGCTCTGGAGAAGAGCTTTGTGAGGGGCATTGTGCTCGCCCCGCGGGAGCCGTGAAGAGCAACTCTAGTAGAGCGAGACACGAAGGGTGACAAGTGGTCCGGCGGGGTCAAGTGCTAGAGCTTGTGGTAAGCACTCTACGTGGGAGAGTGTGACTTACGGGTCACCACTAGCAAGAGGACCGGCGGCAACCTTAGAGCTTGTCTCAACGAGGACTATCATGTTGGCAAGCACGTGAACCTCGGAATAAAAACCATTGTGTCATCCTTGTATTTCCATTGGTTTTTATCCTCGTTACACAAGCTTGTATTTACATTTCATATACATTGTGCTTGTGTAGTTGCTCTTGTAATTTTTAGCTTGCGTAGCTCACTAATTACCTTCTTGCTTGTGTAGCATAGAAGTAGCTCCTTTGCGTGGCTAATTTGGTATGTGTAACCTTGTTAGTCACACTGCTTAGTTTGTTTAGCTAAGTATTTGCGCTCACTAATTGGGCATTGGTTGCCTTGTTATTGAGCATTGCTAGTGAGCTTAGGTGGCTTTGTGCTTTTGCTTACTAGCATGTGTAGGAGCTCCCTCATTGTTTGAAATACTAGTGGCATAGGTTTGTGTGACCTTGATTCTAGAATTGGTTAGGTGAGCTCTAGCTAGCACGACACCTTTGTTGTATAATTAGGATTTTTATAAGGTGCTTGTGAACTTCAATAGAGGGGTGTAGTCTTGGCTAGACCGATAGTTTTAATTCCACATTTATTTCGGTTAGCCAGCGCGATTAAGTTTAAGAAAGGACTATTCACCCCTCCTCTAGTCCGCCATCCAGACCCTATAAGTGGTATCGGAGCTAGGTCTCTCATTTGTGGTCTTCACCGACCCGAGAGGATGACGTCTAGTGGGCTAGTTGATTGTGAGACACATATTTTTTGATGGCACAAACTTTGCACTTTGAAAAAAATCACATGCTTGATCATTTTCGTGCAAAGGGACCAAAGTTTTGGTGGATTGTCACTAGTGGTCTCACTCATGTATTGGACCATAGAAATCTCACCAAAGCTGAAAAGGTTCTCTATGAACTTGATGCACATGCTTGTTGTTATCTAATTGATGCTTTGAGCTTTGATTTAATGAAAAGGATAAACTATGTGGGAACCGCTCGTGAGATATGGGAATCAATCAAGCACACCTTCGGTGATTCCTCCACATGGGATGATGGTAAATTCAAGAAGGAGGATGATCACCAGGTGAAGGCACATGAGCGTGTTGAGCATGACCACAATTTGGTGATTGTGGAAGATTGCTCCACCTCATGGTCAAGTGATAATGATGATGATGCTACCACAAAATCACTTGACAAGATTGATGGTGATGCCACAAGTGTTGCAAATGATGATGCTACCACATGCACACTTGATGGTT